TTCCAATTCTCTCCCCTGCTCCCTGGAGGTGGGGGAGGAGGGTGAGAGACGACTGTGTTTGGCTACAAACTAAAAGTGTGAAACCAAACTACCACACCCACAAATGCTCATTTCTGGGACATGGGCTGTGGGTGCTCCAAGGATGGCCTCCAGCTCTGCACATTGTGGTAGAGTCAGAGCTGGGCATGGTGGGTTTGTGGAGGTCATGGTAGAGCCAGAGTTGGACATGGTGGGTTTGTGGAGGTTGTGGTAGAGCCAGAGTTGGACGGGTTTGTGGAAGTCACCCAGTGTGGCTCTTAGAAGAGTACATCAGCCCTTCAGAGGCCAATTCCCCATCCAAGGGTGATAGTGGGTTTGTGGAAGTCGCCCAGTGTGGCTCTTGGAGGAGCACATCAGCCCTTCAGAGGCCAATTCCCCATCCAAGGGTGGGCTTGGTGTGCAAAAACCAGGAGGACATGAGCCCAACTCCAGCTACAGGCACCAGAGCCAAAGCAAACGGGCAGATGTGCCCAGCCAGGAGCAAGCAGGGAGTCCTGCAGCACCAACTAGATCATGATCTGCCCCTGAAACACCTCCCTGAACACCCCAAGTTGCTCCTGATCCCCGGATCCCTGATGATCTGGGTGCCACATCCTACCAGCCACTTACCCCATGTTGATGGAGAGCAGAGGGGTGACCTCCGTGCGGTCGGGGTACTGGTACAAGATCCCGTTGCTGCCGTTTGGGAAGATGAGAGAGATGGGAACAGGAGTCAGCTCTGCTCCAGCAACTGCACAAACACCCTCTGCCTTCGGTCCCACAGCCACACCTGCCCTGCCCCCCACCCACACAGCACCACAACTGGTGGCTTTATCCTCCCAGGTGACAAGATGGATCCTCTCCATCTCCCAAGCAGCTCCTGGACAGCAAACTGGTCCCAGCACCTTCTCCAACGAGCCCTGGCTGACCCCAGTCCCAACCCACAGCCCCAGTGCCCACCTGAGCACCACGAAGCAGGTCTTCCACTGCTCCTTGCCCAGGTAAGAGGTCCCCGCCTTGTAGTGCAGGATGCCATCCTTGGTGACCGTGTTTTCAGTGGAGGTGTAGCTGTTGTTGGCGTGTCCCAGTGACTCATCCATGGGGTCTTCCCAGTGAACAAGGCCGTAGAAACGCACAACCACGTCACAGGCCTGTGGGAATCAGGTGGAGAAGTCAATAGAAGTGAGTCTCCTTGAGCCTCCACCACATGAAGTGATGGCTGATAACCAAACTCACCTCACACTTGGACTCCTGGGCCACGAATTTTGCAAGTGCCAGTTTCTCCATGGTGGCATCTGTGAGGATACTGGGGTACGGGGGTTCCCGGCACCCCTTGATCATGGCTGACTTCAAGGAGACCAGGAAGAACCTGAGAGGGAGAGAGATCTTTGATGAAACCAGGGAAAACAGCCCCTCATCTCCTTCACACACTCTGATGCCAAAGGGGTTTCCCTTCAACGTGGGCCTCTGGTCTTCCAGACCAAAGGGTCCCAAAATCAACCCAGAAACCAAAGGCAATGGGGGTTACAAAGTCTGAGCTCCAGGAAGGAGATGGTTGAGACTGGGAGATGGACACCCATCCCAACACAGATCCCAGTATGACCATCCAGGCCCTAGAGAGGTCACCTCCCTGAACTGACAGCCTGCAGAGAGACCTGGGGACGTGCTTTGAAACTCAAGACCTTGTCCCTAACTCAACCCAAGTGACACAAAGGACACGTAGTCTGCGTCGCCCAGAGCCCTGAGGCTGGCAGCCTGAGGGACAGGTATGTCCAGGGAAGAAACTTTGGGTGTATCCAGCTCAAGGCATTTCCAGCTGCCTGCAGGGTTTTTAGCTGCTGGCATCAAACCAAACCCCAACCAGTGGCAGGACTTTGTCATGAAGGGCTGTCACCAGAGTCTCTTGCATTCCCCAAGTCACGCTGGGAGTCCAAGGTGTTGGCCAGAGGTCCCACACCCCGGGAGGGAAGCACCACAGCTCTCCACTCAGTCCCTGCTTACTCGGTGAGAGCCACGTCCGCGGTGTCGAGCAGGAACTGCTTCCTCCGATTGGTGCACACCAGAGTCACCGTCTGCTGATCCAGCCCAACCTGTGCCACATACGACCAGTTAGGGAAGCCAGGAGGGGGACAAGGGGTGGCAAAGCAGAGCTGAACCTGGCTTCTGGCCCCAGGGGAGAAGGGCAGTGGTCATTCTGCTGCCCATGTGAAGACAGGAGCAAGCTGGGGCACCTACAGAGGTGGCATTTGAGGTGGGAACACTTGTAACTCTCCCAGTCTCAAAGATTCACTGGTCAAAATACTGGACAGAGAGCCCCACAGAAACACCCCATCATGATGCTCCTGACACCCCTGCGGCTGGAGAGGTGAGGAGCAACCCCCCACTCACCTCCTGCTCCCCCCAGGAGGGCTGACCCACCCCAGGCTGCACTCACCGAAACGTAGTCCAGCTCGTTATAGGATACGGCCTCCTCCACCATGTACGGCTTCTCTGCTGCCCCTGCACAGACACAAAGTCAAGGACAAGCCGACCTGAGCTCCCTGCCACCACTCCGGGGGACACGAGGGAACTGGGAGGAGCTGGCAGTGCAGGTAGGGAGCTATGGTGCCCTAAATTATGGATAAGCCACAGATCAAGGAATCCTCCCCCCCGTGCAGCTGAGCACGGATACCTTTCCGGATCAGGTACACGTAGCAGTCGGTCAGCAGGACGTAGATCAGTTGCAGGTTCCCCTCCATGTGCCCAGTGCTCATTCGGATCATCTGTGTGGAGACAGAAGAGCTCTCAGCATGCAGCTGATGCAGGGACAGAGCTGGTCCTTCATGGGAGATGGACCTTGACCACCTTACCCTGAACAACTGCTCCTCGTTCTCCCGAAAGACGTGGATCATCAGCAGGAGAAGATGGTTGTTATCCACCCTGTGAAGAGAGAGGGCAGAGGATGGACATACACATGGGGCAGGGTGGGTCCAGGAAGGGCAACCCCCATCCTGGTTGAACCCATCCATGATTTGGGCATCTGTTGCCCCCCGAGACCTTCTCCTCCTGACCCTTTATGCCTCATCTTCATCCTGGGAAAGGATGGGCTTTGCCCCCCAAATCAAGGCCAAAGGGAAAAGTGCCAGCTTGGGCTCCAGATTATCTGGAAGATGCTCTCCCTGCTGAGCAAACCCAGCCTCACCTGAACTCGGAGGGATGGGTCAGCTCTGAAGGGCTGCCCTGCCCTTCCTCCACACCAGAGTCCTCAGCGCTGCTCGGGGAAGGGCTGGGCTGCTCCTTCTTCGGCTCGTGGAGAGCCTGAGGGTTGGCGGTTTCAGTCTGGGGTTCATCACTCGTCTCTCCAGACTCCTCTACTGCCCCAACTGCTTTTCCCTCTCTCCTTTCTTCTTCAGGAGCCTCAGGGCTACCAGAAACATGTGGCGGTTTGCCAGGCCCTGGAGTGTCATGGTGGCCACTACCTGGTGCAGCAGTGTTTGGACTCTCAACGGTAAAGCGGTAGAAGTCCATGGGGGCTGAAATCCCCTCACTAAAGTCGCCAGAGGACGATCCATCCGGGGTCTCCCCTGGCGTGCCAGTCCGAAAGGACTGCCCGGGGGGCTCGACAGGAGCTTTCCAGCCACCGGGGTCCAACTGCCCATTGAGCCTGTCCATCACCTTGCTCAGCGGCTGCCCCACGCTCTCCATGGACGTGTCCTTCATCTCAGGGATGTGTAAAGCCAGCTGGCTGAGGGCAGAGCGCTCACGACCCTCCTCCTGCCCGCTCAGGCTTGGGTCACCAGCTGGGACAGCAGGACCATCATCTCTCTGTGGCTCTTCTCTGTCACTCAGCCCGTTGATGCCGCTGTCTCCACTGGACTGTTTGGTCTCGGGCACGACGGGCGCAGGGGTGTTCACCGGCTCCTCGGGCTTTGCTTTCTTCTTCTTGCCTGTTTTCTTCTTCTTGGCTAACCTGCATGGTGAGAGACCAGTCACTTGTCTTTGCCTGCTTAGACTTTTGCAATAGAGAGGGGTCCCACCACTTCCCAACCAACCTTCCTCTGCAATGTTCCCTATGGCAGAGAAATTCTCATATTGAGAACATCATTCAATGTGCAACCACGTAGAACCCCCATCTCCTCCCAAGAAAACCAGAAAAAACACAGGGTATGGACACAGTTTCCTACTTATCCAAAAAAAGAAGAGGCATGGACACAGCATCTTGTGTTTCCTTTGGCTGCAAAGAGGATCACAAATGGATGTGGAGCTAAAGTGACATGGGAGAAATCCCTGTCTGAAAGCAAGATGCTGGGAAGGGAAAAAGGTTTCAAGGGGATGTGGGAATGACATGTGCCCACCTGCCAAGAGAGGGAGATGCAGGCTGGAGCCTGCTCCAGCTCAGAATGCCAGCTGTGGAAGTGTCCAGGGCTCCTATGGCACCCAGACTGCTGCCAGGTCACTCTTGTTTGGGGAGCAATTGTGGTGCTCCCCTACTCGTGCGCGTACACAAGAGTGGAGCGTGATGTAGCCCAGGAAAAACAGGGTGTGAGAGCAAAGCACAGGGCTGCTGGGCTGGTTTTGGGGTGCCCCCACCCCTGAGTGTGAGCAGACAGAGCCTTAAGGTCTTTGTCTGGGTTTAAGGGCTCCAAGGAAGCCCTGGGGATCTCCTCTGCAAGAGTCAAACACAGGCCAGCAAGCAGGTCTGCGGAGGCATCTCCCTCAACAGGTTTAGCCACAACTCATCGACAAACAAGAGGAAGGATGGGAGAGAAGATCTGAGACTCAAGAGCTGCTGCAAACCTGCCACCAGCTGGAGAAAGCTTCAAATAAAAGCTCACGGCTTCCTCCGAGCTCTCTGCTACAGACTCTCAGGCAAAGGTGTTTATGTTGAGCCAGCCTCCAGCTCTACAGACCTCAAGGGACCAGCTCTGGTGACATCTACAGAGCATCAGCTGGTGTCTGGAGGTATAAAACCACTTTCTCATGATTGTATAAAGGCTACACCACAGACGTTGTCTCCGTTGGGCTAGAAGGGGTGGCACATCATCAGCCTCTGGTGACAGATGACACTCAGGGGCATATTTCCAGGCCAGTCAGCTCTGTCCCTACCTGATGACCTCCAGCTCTGTGCAGCTCTCAGACTGGTCTGTTCCTTCAGGGGTGGCTTCTGCCTTCTCCTGGGAAGCTGTGTGCACTGGTGTGGTCTCAGTGGAGGACGGCACATCAGCTTTCTCCTCGTTGAAGGGGTTGTAGCGCTGCGTCGGGCTCTTCACAGAGGCCTTGCTGCCGTTTGCCTCCGAGGCAGTGGAGTGTGGGCAGCTGAGTGTGTCTGTGAGGTCTCCATCTGCAAAGACAAGAAGGGAAGAGTGGGATTAACCTCAGCTCGGGCACCTGGATCAAATCAAATCAAGCAAAGCTGCACGCTGGGGGCTCGGGGCACTACATGGTCACCAACCAGCCTGTGGTGACACCATCCTGGACACCAGAAGAGCGCTGTCGGACCAGCTTAGCTTCAGACTTCAGAGATGGCTGCAGGCAGCAGGGACAGAGAGGCCAGTGCACGACCCAGCATCGCTCTGCGTTTGGCACCTGCTGTAATTTAGACAACGCCTGGAAATAACAGCTGGGTCACACCCAGGAGCTGGCAGCCAGATTAAGAAGTAGAGGTAACGTCCTTGGGAAGGAACTGGAGGGGTCTCAGGGCCATGGTGCTTCATTAGTGAGATGACAGCGAGCTAACGAGGCTGCTGCTTTGCACTGCTGCTTCTCAGGGTCTCAGGAAGATGCTCGCTCGGCTGGGAGGGCACAAACACAGCCAGCCCGTCCAGCAGTGATTCTTACGGAGCCGGCTGCTTCTCTCTGCTTGCATGAGACACACACACACGGGGGCTGGAAGTGTGGTGGGGGAGGACACAGCATTCACCAGGGTCTGAGGACAGCAGGCTGCACAGACAGGTTGTAGCACAACTGGCTTGTTAGTCTTCAGAGGAAAAAGGAGGAGCGGAGGAGAGCTAGAGGAGTCATGCTTGGAGTTATCCATCCATGAAGTCACGGTTAAAGGCAGGTTACCCTCTTCTCCAGCACCCTTCATTTCCAAAGCCAGCTAGAAACCTCTTCCTAAACAGGGACACCCCTTCTAAAGGAAGCCACAGCCCTGGCAGACTGATTCAGGGGCACAAGTTTTGAGTAGGAAAATGAAAAGTCTTATAAAAATAATTTAAAAAAAAAAATCATCTAATAAAGGCAGTT